AGCTTACAAGTACCCTTAATGGCATCACAACACCATAGAGACTCTTTTCTTCACTTAGGCAAAATTTTGAGGTTAGGTCTAGGAAACACCACCTTGGATTCGACTTGGAACCATGGAGGACTGTTATAAAGGTGTTGAGAGATTTTGGGAACTGTCCTTGGTCGAAAATGACCAAAACTGAGCCACCCAAACCCTTTAAAATGTTCAAGGGTCGCCCACCGCCTAAGTGGGTCCCATTGGGAGCTGCTTGTGCAGTCTCGCAAAAATGTGAATATCTCTCTACTCCGATGTCGTATCGACGTTCGGTTTAATGTGTTAGAAACTAGACTTGTAGATCTTCAATTTTATATGTGGTTCATTCTTTAATTCCAAGAATATTGGGATAAAAACTCACCTACATTTGACCTAATTTTTAGCATATTATGAATGTAACTTGTGATGACCTCTGCCAACTTTTATCCCACAACTCGCTTGACTCCAAAACATAACACACGACTATTATAATACTAAAATAACTCATAACATAGCCTATTTATCATGTTAATCACCAAAGTCTAAACCTAACAGTACATGTTATAATATTCCGAACTTGTCGACTTTCGACGAAACTTATTTTCCCCAATTTGTTTAGCTTCTAAGCTTTCCAACCCTCTTGGTACTTGTTATCCATGATCTTAAAGATTTGTAGCCTCCAAGGTAACATGATTAACTTACCTTATGTACTTTCAAAGATGATCTCATTTCTGATCTTACATCAATTGACTTACGATATACTATCACGTACGAAAACATGGGGTGTAACAGTAACCCTACTTACAGATGCAGTAGTGAGGTTGTTGAATGTGTTAGAAGCATTAGTTCCTACTCATGGTGGACTTCCAGCTCCCCCGACTACTTCGCAGGCGCAAGCACAGGTTCAACTAAATGTTGCAGCTCCTCAGATGGCCCCTCAGCAGAAGTCGTTCAGCGAGTTGCAAATACAGGGCAGTTTAGGGATCTTAAGAATTTCATAGATCTTACACCACCAGAGTTAGATGATGCACATAGTTCTATTAAGCCCCAAAAGTTCATTCACCATTGTGAAAAGATATAACTACATTGGGACTGAAGGAGACTCGAGGGGTGGACTTTGCTACTATTCTATTTTCAGGATCTGTAAAGCCGTGGTGGAATTCAATTTAAAGAGGTAGATGAGCAGGGTTGCCACCTATTACTTAGTCAGGGGTTTCAGCTTTGTTTATGGATAGGTTTGTTCTACTGATCAAGCAAGACGACATGAGACGTCAGTTCGAGCAATTTCGCCAAGGCAGTATGACAGTTACGGAGTATGAGGCTAAGTTCACTAACTTAGCCAATTATGCACCTTTTCTGGTTGCATATGAGCATGAGAAGGTTCGTAGATGGGCTTGAGCGTCGTTATCGTGGTCCGGTGGTTAGGGATGTTCAAGGTGGTTCCTACGAAGAGGTAGTTGACACTGCTCTCCGTTGTAAGTCATATCAACAAGTGAGAAAGTAAAAGGGGTCATAGCGCCGGCGGGTTTAGTGGAGCTCCATCTGGGAGAAAGAGTAGTTTTAATTGTGGGTAGTCTAGGCCTACTTAGTCAGAGTCAGTGGTACAGTCTTCTAGGAGTGCCTATCCAACTAGAAAGGGACAACAGCAAAAACAAAGCAAGGGTAATAACTCATATCATTCAGGTCAACATCCAAGGTGTGCGAATTGTGGTAGAAATCATAATGGTCGTTGTTTTGGAGCAAATGGGGCTTGTTTTACTTGTGATAAGAAAAGGCATATTGCTAAGTATTGTCCTAGAGGAAATTCTGCTACTAGCCATGCTACTCCACAGCCGCACAGAACGTTTATAGCTACACAGACTCAGACTCAGCCAACTAGAGTCGCTCCGCAGGTTGCTTGTAGATAGGGTTGACAGGGTGCACAGACTGCTCAGGGAGCGGGTGGACTGCCAAGATTCTTTTCTATGTCCAGACAGGATGCTGAGGCATCTAATGCAGTAGTCATAAGTATTATCACTATCGGTTCTTATGGGGCCTAAGCTCTTATTAATCTTGGTTCTACGTATTCATATGTATTTCCATAGTTTGTCATACACTTAGAACGAGGATCTGAGTCTCTTAATGTGCCATATATCATGGTGACCCCAGTGGGGGAGACTATATCTGTGGATAGAGTCTATAGAGACTGTGTGTTATGTATTCAGGGCAGGGACATCGTAGTTGATCTACTAGTGTTGCTGATGTCCAACTTTGATGTGATTATGGGTATGGATCGATTAACGTCATGTTATGCTTCAGTTGATTGTCATTCCAAGCTTATATGTTTTGATTTTCCTGGAGAACCATGTTTAGTGTGGAAAGGTATAACTTTCGTGACTCAGGGGAAGATAATATCTTATGTGAAAGCACGTCGAATGATTAATAATCAGGGTTTGGGTTTTATTGCTATCGTTCATGATACGCTCTTGGAGGATGTTACTATTGATAGTGCTCCAGTGGTTCGAGAATTTGCTGATATGTTTACAGAAGATTTACCCGGGCTGCCTTCGTCGAGAGAAATTGAGTTCAATACTGATTTGATGCTAGGAACTCAACCTATCTCTATTCCTCCATACCTTGTGGCTCCAGTTGAGTTGAGAGAATTAAATGTTCAACTTCAAGAGCTACTTGATAAGGAGTTCATCAGGCCTAGTGTATCACCGTGGGAAGCATATGTTATTTGTGAAAAAGAAAGATGGCACGATGAGAATGTGTATTGATTACAGACAGCTGAATAAGGTGACGATCAAGAATAAATATCCATTGCCACGTATTGATGGTCTATTTCACCAGCTACAGGGTGCTACTCACCTTTACAAAATTGTCCTGTGATCGGGTTACCATCAGCTGAGAGTTAAGGCCAAGGATATCTCCAAGATAGCTTTTCGGACCAGGTACGGGCATTTTGAAATTTTGGTGATGTCCTTCGGGCTTACTAATGCCCCCACAATATTTATGGACCTCATAAATAGGGTATTCAAGCCATTCTTAGATTATTTTGTGATTGTATTTATTGATGACATTTTGGTCTACTCTCGAAGTGAGGCAGAACATGAACAAGACCTGAGTGTTATGCTACAGACACTTAGAGAGCAAAAACTTTATGCCAAGTTGTCAAAGTATGAATTTTGGTTGGATACAGTTTCCTTTTTGGGACATGTGGTGTAACGAGATGGGATTCAAGTTGATCCAAAGAAGATAGAGGAAGTTTGAGATTGGCCTCGACCCACTACCCATAGAGATACGTAGTTTCTTAGGCCTAGCCGGATATTATAGAAGGTTTGTTGAGGGTTTCTCAAAGATAGCCACTCCATTGATACGATTGACTCAGAAATGTGTTGCATTTCAGTGGTCAAATGAGTGTGAAGAAAGTTTTCAAAAATTGAAGACCTCATCGACTACAGCTCCGATTTTGACACTACCTACAAGTACATGCGATTTTACTATTTATTGTGATACGTATCGAGTCGGTTTGAGTTGTGTGTTGATGTAATGGCAAAGTAGGAGCTTATGCTTCTCGACAGCTAAAGAACCATAAAAGAATTATCCAACTCATGACTTGGAATTGGATGCGGCCGTATTTGCACTTAAGTTCTGGCGTCACTATATTTATGGTGAGCCGTGTGAAATCTATACTAATCATAAGATTCTGCAATATATATTCAAGCAAAGAGATTTGAATCTGAGGCAGAGACATTGGTTAGAATTACTTAAAGACTATGATCTTACTATTTTGTATCATCCCGAATGTGGTGGCGGACGCCTTGAGTAGAAAGTCTATGGGTAGCTTAGCCCGATTTACTGCTGAAGAACGACCTATGGTTATGGATATTTAGGCATTGGCCAATTAGGGAGTGCGTATTGATCATACATTTCCTGGCAGATTGCTTGCGGGTTTGGTAGCACAATAATCCTTGGTTAGACAGGTCATGGCTCGTCAATTTGAAGATCTCCATCTTGCTAGACTCCGAGATCGAGTGCAAAATGTCGGTGTTAAGTCATTTGCTATTGATAGTGAAGGTGTGTTACGTAGGCATGGTAGATTGTGTATTCCCATGGTAGGTGATGTAAAGCAGTTGATTATTGAAGAGGTTCATAGCTCTCGATACTCTATCCATCCAGGTGCTACGAAAATGTATCAAGACTTGCGTGAATTATACTGGCGGAAGGGTATGAAGTATGATATTTTGAAACATGTGACTAGTTGCTTAAATTGTCAACAAGTGAAATATGAGCACCAAAAACCAGGCGGTGTGATGTAGAATTTGATTATCCCTTATTGGAAATGGGAAAGGATTACTATGAATTTTATAGTTGGGTTGCCACATACTTTTAGAAAATATGATTCAGTATAGGTGATCGGGGACAAACTCACAAAGTCTGCGCATTTTATATCGGATCGAGTTACTCACACTGCATAATAGTTAGCAGATATTTACCTCCGTGAGATATTCATAGTGTACCTATTTCTATAATATCATATTGGGGTGCACAATTTACTGCTGAGTTTTAGTAGTCCTTTAAGAAGTCATTGGGTTCTCAGGTTGAGTTGAGCACAACTTTCATCCACAAATGGACAGACAGTCCGAATGGGTTATTCAGATCATAGAAGACATGCTTAGAGCTTGTGCGATTGATTTTGGTGGTAATTGGGATGATCAGTTGCCGTTAGCAGAGTTTGCTTATATTAACACCTGCCAGTCAAGTATACATATGGCGCCATTTATGGTCGTAAATTTCGTTCACCAGTTGGATGGTTTGAACCTAGTAAAACACAGCTATTGGGTCTGAATTTGGTTCAACAATCTTTGGAGAAAGTAGCAGTGATACGAGAATGACTTCGGACAGGTCAAAGTAGACAAAAATCCTATGTATATAAAAGAGATCGTGATTTGGACTTTATGAAAGGAAAAAAAATCTTTTTGAAGATGTCCCATATGAAAAGAGTCATGCGATTCGGGCGCAGAGGCAAGCTAAGTCCAAGGTATATTGGTCCATATGAGATTTTAGATCGAATCAGATCGGTGGCATATAGACTTGCCTTGCCTCCGAGGTTGTCTACGGTCCATCCTATATTTCATGGGCCTATGCTTAGAAGATATATTCATGATGATAGTCATAAGGTTCATCCCGAGGATGTGGAGCTTGATGAGAACATAACGTATGAAGAAGGTCTGATAGTTATTCTTGATAGACAAGTACGACAATTGAGGTCAAAGAAGGTTGATTCAGTGAAAGTGTTGTGGCACAACTATCCCACAGAGGAAGCGACGTGGGAGTCTGAAGTAGACATGCGAAGAAAGTACCCACAGTTATTTGAGATGTCAGGTAAACTTTCAAATTCATTCGAGAACGAACGCTTGTTTAAGTGGGGAAGAATGTAATAATCCTAAATAAATTTAAACACTTATTATTTAGGGAATTGGAGAATTAATTTAGTTTATTGATATTGGGTTAAACACTAAGCTAGTGGAAGAGAATCTATTGTGATACGTAAAATAGTGTACCAAATAAGTGGCTAGTGGCTAATTTCTTAAGCTTTAATAAAGATTAAATGAAAAATAGTGGGCCAGGCCCATTTTTTTGTGCGAGCACGTTATACTGACCCAAGGATTGGTAAAAGAGGGTATTTTTAAGGAAACTTTACCTCATATAGCAAAGGTATACACCCTATTTATTATAAACCAAAATCATGTATATAGTAATGTTATATTTTTTAAATATTTTTAAAATATATGTATGTGCACCCATGCTCCAAGTATTATATAATGTGATGGTTATTGGGTTGCTCTAATGGTGAGCACCCTCCACTTCCAACCAAGAGATTGTGAGTTCGAGTCACCCCAACAACATGGTGGGGAGTTCTTGGAGGGAGGGAGCCGAGGGTCTATCGGAAACAGTCTCTCTACCCCAGGGTAGGGGTAAGTTCTGCGTACATACTACCCTCTCCAGACTCCACTAATGGGATTATACTGGGTTATTGTTGTTGTTGTTGTTGATGATGATGATGATGGTTATTGGGTGTATCTCTCTAGGTGAGGTCGTGAGTTCAAATCTTATGTCAATCTTGTTAATTTTTTCTTCTATTTTTTTCTAGAACTAGACGCCCCATGGGAGATAGGCGTGTCTGGTATTTTTTTTTTGCGTATTAATTAAGTACTTTTTTTATTTCTTTTTTGTTTGGTTCAGTCTTCAAAATTTTCACACATTGAAATTCCTATTCTTCTTTTTGTCGTTGTAAAATCTCATATGATTAAACAAAATATGTATATTAAAACTAGTAGTAGTGTATGATGTAGCATATAGTCAATGGATTCAATTGATCCCAATATTTTTAACATGAAAAATAGATATAGATATAAGAAAATTACTATTTAAAATAAATTTGAACTTATTATTCCAAAGTGTAATGGGTGCGCAATCGAAAAAACTAAATGTTGAATCCATAAAATTTATATTATGGATCCACCTCTTCTTAATAGTGCACTCATCCTGTCAAAATTCTGGATACGACTCTGGGTGGGTTATAATTTATATTCTTATAATGATGGCATAGTAATCAGACAATGATTAGTAGTGTTGAAAGTTACTGCTATAGAATGCAATTTTGGTGTATGCATATTCAAATTTCTATTCTTTCTTTATTGTAAGAGATAATAATAGCGATGTGGCAATGATGAAGTGATGATTGAGCCTCTAAAGATTTTTTATAATATCGAATCTAATGATTTGTTATAATATTCGTTACTTTACACTGCTACAGTACATGAAATATAAGAATCAATTATGGTGTAATGATGATGCAATAATAAAGTGAATTAATTATAGAGTATAAGTCATGATATAAGTTCATCTGAAGCTACTGTTTCAGTACTTTTCGAAGTACTACCGTTGACCTTGTTTGTGTACAAATTAGTTATTAATTGGATCGGATTGACTTTGATTTGAATTATCCTAAGATTATGAAAATTATTCACCTAAGACTAATTAGGACGTGTTATTCAATATTGAGGTCATTGGAGGCCGTTTGGTTGGTGTTCTAGACGTTGCAAGATTGAAAACTTTCCGTTAGCAAGGTAAGTGAGATTTTAAGTTTTGATACGTGCTTTTCTAAAATTCGTTTTGAAAATTTATTTTCTCTGTCAGGTTCATGTGTTGGGATAAGCGTGCGCTTAGCAGAATCGGTGGTCTTAGACTAAACGCAAATACATTATTTTATGAAAAATACAAAAAAAAATATATATTTATAAGTTGTTTGATGACGTGATATGATTATGAGCCATGATGTTGCGTTTGATAGTTTAATACGGTTGTGAGTCATGGTATTGAGTTTGATAGTTTCATACGGTTGTAAGCCATGATGTTGGGGCGTTTTGTGTGCCTTTGTACATTACTCGAGCATTGTGTATACTTCTTGACATATTTGGGGCATTGTGTATGCTTCAGTGACCATTGTGTATGCTACGTTACATATTTGAGGCATGTGGTGCCGTTGTGGACTCGTAGATGTGTTGGTTAATTTCTTTCATTGCAATTATGACAAGTCCTTAGTGTGCACTATGGTTGATTAATTCTTATTTACTTTGTTGATACATGTATATTAAGTTATTATATAATGATCGTAGTATTATATCTTTTTTGTTAGGGTGTATTTGTATTTTCTAACATTTATTCGAGAGGTATTTAAAATGTCGGGTAGAGGATTTTATTGAGTTATATTTACGTATCACTTTTTACATGCATCTCTATGCAAATGCCGTTGTGGGAGATAGAATTAGTGGCTGACGAGTTTGTTCGAGTGGATCCTATTGCTGAGGTGAGCCACCATATTGTTCGTGGAGACTTTCGTTTCCGCTTTATCTAGTTCGTGTTAGTTATTTCCTTTTTCTTTGGGGTTTTCATACCCGTCTGTAAAACTCATATTACTCTGTTAGATGCTCCATGGTCTTAGTATGAGATTTGGACTAGTGCGTTATTATTTGAGTGATTGTTGATTTTATTTATCAATTGACTAAGGTATTAGTTGATAACTATTTTATCTTTAATTATTAACAATACTTTTAGGCTTGCACTTATTTTTCTTGTAGTATTAGTGTAAATGGTTAAAAGTTTGAGAAAATGGGTTCGCCTGCAAACGGTGTGTAACGAACCGGCCGGTCGTTTCGAGAGTTGTAGCCCCATTTTTCCCATTTCTATTTATTTTTGTATTATTCAGCTATATTATGTGATATCGGGTTAGTTGGTTCGAGACCGGAGTGGTTTCAGAGTGAATTGAGACACATAGTCTCTTAAGTAGAAACTTAAGTTGGAAAGGTCAACCGGATGTTGACCTATATGTAAACAATCTCAGATTCGAATTCTGATAATTCCAATAGCTCTGTATGGTGATTTTGGGCTTAGGAGCGTATTCAGAATATTATTTGGAAGTCCGTAGAAGAATTAGGCTTGAAATACCGAAAGTTTAATTTTTGAGAAGTTTGACCGGAGGGTTGACTTTTTGATATCGGGGTCGGAATTCGATTCTGAAAATTAAAATACCTCTGTTATGTTATTTATGACTTGTGTGCAAAAATTGAGGTCAATCGGACGTGATTTGATAGGTTCCTGAGTCGTTTGTAGAAATTAAAAATTTTAAAGTTCATTAGGCTTGAATTGGGGTGTAATTCATGATTTTAGCATTGTTTGAGGTGGTTCGAGGGTTCGACTAAGTCCGTATGATGTTATAGGACTTGTTGGTATATTTGGTCGAGGTCGCAAGGGGCTCGGGTGAGTTTTGGATGGTTAATGGATCAAAAATTTGGACTTGTATAGCTGCTGAAATTTTCTGATATCTGATAATGTTTTCCTTCTACGCGATCGCGTGAATGCGTTTGCGATCGCATAGGCTTAGTTGGTCAGTGAGGATTTTTGTTCTACGCGATCGCGTGGGGATATCTGCGATCGCGTAGGGTTAATGTGAGGCAGTGGCAATTTGTGCTTCGCGGTCGCATGAAGCGTGATGCGATCGCGCACCTCTGGAATTTTATGACTCGCGAACGTGTGACGAAGGTCGCGTTCGCGTAGAGTAAGTGGAGCAGAGTAGAAGTCACACGTTTTGTTCTTTGCGATCGCGTGGAGTATTCCGCGATCGCGTATGTCTGTGATGTTGTGCGTCGCGATCGCGTGGGAAATCCGCGATCGCGTAGAGTAAAATCTAGGCAATGGAAATTGTTCTTCGCGATCGCATGGGGATGTACGCGATCGCGTAGAGCAAATGTCTGGACAAAGAGTTTAAGTTCTGAAAATGGAACTTCGTCCCATTTTGAGTTTTTGACGATTTGGAGCTCGGATTTGAGGAGATTTTGGGTGATTTTCAGAGAAAATAACAGGGTAAGTATTCTTAACTCAATATTGGTTAAATTACCCGAATCCATGGCTGTTTTTATTATTTAATTGGTGAATTGAGTTGAAAATTTTTAAAACCCTCTTGAATTGAAGATTTGAGGGCCGAGTTGGGGTCGGATTTTGGTAAAATTGGTATGGTTAGACTCGTGATTGAATGGGCTTTCGGATTTTGTAACTTTTGTCGAGTTCCGAGGCGTCGGCCCCACGGGCGATTTTTGAGCTAATTTTCAGATTTTTATGGAAAATCATTATTTTCTTATGGGATTAATTCCAATGAATTTTATTGACTAAAATAAATTATTTATGACCAGATTCGAGGCGTTTGGAGACCAATTCACGAGGAAAGGACATTGCAAAATAAGAATTTCACGGCTTGAGGTAAGTAACGATTGTAAATCTAGTCCTGAGGGTATGAAACCCCGGATTTCGTATCATTTTACTACTTTGAGGTGCCGCACATGCTAGGTGACGGGCATGTGGGCGTGCACCGTTGGGGATTGGTGACTTGGTCCATCACGTAGCAACTGTAAAGTTGCATATTTTGTTGAAACTATATGATACTTATATGTTTTAGAAAGAGTTTCTGTAAATTGGGTTGAATGCCATATTTGGGCCTTGCGCCAGTGCTGTTTGGACCCTTAGGGGCTTCTTACTATCCTCTCATTGTTTTCAATTGAAA